CCCCGTATGTCTGTTTTCATGAGATGGATACCTGGAGCATGGGGTGGTTCCTAATAGTATTTTAAAAAATTGGAATATCCACTGCATGCACCAGACAGAATACAGGGTTATGAACTTCTTTGGAAATAAAGCAGCCTTGTCACATAGCTATTTTCTTCTACTTGTTTGCATTTTCTGTGCTTTGTGGCACGTAGATCATGGATTTATTGGCAAATAAACTTAGTGGAATGGGGGGACTACTTGTTATGCAAAATTAAACTATATTTCAGTTGTGAAAACTGTTAAGTGTCACTAGCTTGATTTAAATTTTATGCATGAACTTTAAAAATCAGTATGCTAGTCTGCAACAGTACCAATTAAATGGACTTCAGGATTCTTTATATACATATATTAGAAAAACCCCATTATATATATGTGTCTTTTCAGTCTCCTGATTTCATGCTGAGGTACTGAAATTGAAAGATGGTGCTATGGATAGTTGCCTGGTTTTCATTAATCTTGTCATAACCTTGCACTGAGGACATATTATGAAGCAGATAGAATAGTAATAATAATGCAAATGCATACTCATGAAATAAGTCCCAATGACTGAAGATGGGATTTTACTGCTTGATTAAAATTATTCATGTGTTCAAGTGTTTGTAGAGCCTGGAGATTTGTAGCTACTGTGTGTATGACACATGCTGAGCTGTAAAAGCCGAAAGGCTCCTGGATATATCATTGTAAATAAAAGAGCAGTGTTTCCACATTAGCTTGGTCTTATATTGTTGCTTACTTTACTTAGTCTAAGATACTGCAGGGAATGATTATATGATGCTTCCTACCTCTGTGTCATTAAATGTTTAGTGCAGATCAGTCTGGAGTACTTACTGTAAGCAGTGTTTGATGGAATTAAATGGAAATATCACCGACAGTATGCTTTCATGAATGTTTCTTCTTCACTCTTCATGTGAAAATCTTACTGGATAGAAGCCAGTTTTTGGTATCGTGCAACTGCATAATTTTTAATCCAGAAAGATTTTAATTACTTTTGATCTGCTTAAATTTCAAGGACAAATGCAGTTGGATGATGTAAGCAAGGATTAATTTATATACATGTTGATAAATGCATTTTAAATGGACTTATGCCCTTTCTAGAGGAAAGATATTAAAAAACCAATACCATTTGTGGTTAGAAGAAAATCCCTGCATTCATACTCTGGACAAGAAAAGAAAGCTTTGCCAAGCAGCCTTATAGGGTGAATCCAGAGTTTGGAAGGGGGAGTTTAGAACTGGCATCATTCTGCTTCAAAGACTTCCGAAATCCTTGAATGCTGCTGAAAATGTCGGCTTCTGGGAGGGTCATGCTGAGTTTGCCTTTGAAGATGTGCTATTTTGGCTTTTGTTAGCTACTTTGGGTCCTTCTTGCTACCCCTTCCTAGTCTGTGGTGTTGCTGCTATTGCACAGTATTTCATTAGAAGAAAGCTGTAGGGGCTTTTAACCAGACAATGGAATTATATTTATCCTATTCTTCTATTATTATTTTCTTAATCTTTTCAATATCTGGTCATAGTTGACTTTAATGGGAACATAGTATGACATTAGGCTATTTGCAGCATAAGATGCTGATGGCCAGCTTCCTGTAGCATTACTTTGTGGTCCATACATTCCCACTGTTGAATTTTTTTCCAAGAATAATCTGGAAAAGCAATGGGAGCATTTGAGTAGAAGGTGTTATTTCTCTGAAGGAAATTCAGAAAAAGACACCCATGTTTTTGTGACTCGATGTACTCTCTGATAAACAGGAAGAGTAACCTTGTAGCATCTAAGTACTACGAGTGTGTTCTGGACTTCCTGTAGCTTTGCACAAGTCGCTCTAAAGGGGACTGCTGACTGTCTCCAGTTCTCATTAACCGGGAAAAGGGCTGTAGGTGCTAAATGCTTCTAAACCCTATGCTTTTGTTCTCGCTGTGCTTCAGGTCTACATCTGAAAAATGGAAGTAAAAATGCTGGTTTACCTGACAGAAATTTTATGGGGCTGAAATCACCAGAGGCTTCTAGGATTTTGAGACTACACTCTCTTGGTGCAGCAACAGACATGTCTGTGTTTCAATGATGTAGAAAATATTGGTGTTTACTGCTCCCAGAGGTGACAAATTGGGGAATTCTGTTTTAAGTTGATCTGCCTGACTTTTTTTGTATCTTTTAAAACAAGTTCTGCACCCAAACCACATGTGAGAGGGGTGGATTTACATACATGGTATGACTTGAACATATACGTTGAAGTTGGCTACATCTATTCTTTTACTTGATATAATTACTCATTTTTTGCTCTTTTGACCTATCCTATTAAACCCTGGAGAAATATGCTGACCTGATGATGCTCACAGCCTGTTCAGGAGTTGTGGAGCTGCTAAAGGGCACTGAGTGGCTGGTAGTTATATGTTGCGTTAATGTATTGCCTGTTAATGAATCTTTGATTAGGCTTGATTTAAAATCCATAATGCTGCTCATACTAAGTGCAACACTGAGCATTACTGACACAGCAAAAGGATGATGAGGATCCTCTGAGGGATTTAACACTTGGCTTCGCTAACATCCCTGTTTATGTTGAAAGTGTCTGTGAAGAGGTGGGGGAAACATCTTGCAGTGGAGATACAAGTATGTTTTGGCCAAACGCAAGTTAGAGCAGAGCCTTGCTATTTGAGCTTTTTTCCTGTTTATTGGAAAAGCGTCTCCATCTGAACTCATATCAGGAGTTGAAAATGTACTTAGCAAATGTGCACGACTTGCTTGTTCAGCTAACTCATACACGTCTTTCACTGGCTCCTGAAAGTACAATTCAGATATAACAAATTCACTTGGGGTCCCTCTGGCAGCATTGCAGGGAGGGGAAATACAGCACATACCATTAAAATTACCACTGGAATCCCAGCTATCCCAAATGTGGTTTTTGTTAGAGAGAGTTTTTGTGTTGCTGGAGCTACGAGCTTGCCAATGTTTGTTAAGGGGAGGTGACTGCACATGAAAACTAGAGCTGAACAGTGCTGCTTTCAGCCATGCTTGTTGTAAGTAGGGCCTGATTAGGATCCTTCTTATATGCTTTCCTAGGTCCTCTAGTCCTGATCTGCAAGACTTTTACCTTTTGGTGTTACTTTTAGTCCTGGATTTATCCTGAAGGTCACCCTGGGTTGGTGTTGGGTAGAGTCAAAGGAAAAGGCTGTATCAGCTGTCATGCTCTTTCATTTGTGAGCCTTCTCGGCATTTGAACCCCTCTCAGAAGGGTAAGAGCTATTTTTTTTAGAGTTGCTCTTCTTACTTCCTCACTAAGATTATTTTTTAAAAAAATAATTCTCAATCTTTCAAGTTAAGTAGACTTTTTTTTAGAAAAATCCTCAATCTTTCAAGTTTTAGAAAAACGGCCTGTCAGTGGCAGGAATCTCATTCTGAGCATGCCTGCTTGGCCTGGGGAAATGCCTATCTGTAGAAACATTTGCCACTTTATCAGCACCCCTGAGTAGCATTTTCTAGTGTCCATAAAAGAGTACACAGGGTGAAGCAGCTCACTGGCTGGTGTTCCAGATGGTTTTTGGAGTGTGATATACATGCATGATGGATTTGTCCAGCATTAGCAGGACAAATCTTTCCGTGTCTCTTTATAATCTACTTGTTTCCATAGGAAATGGCTCCTGTGTGTGGACTGCTTGTTGTCTGCCTTGTGCTTTAATCCATGGATGAGTAAGGAAAGGCTCCTTCCTCTGCTGTGTCTGTGGAAAGATTTTGTTTTCTGAGTGAGTCAAAGGGTTTTACTTCATTCACGTTCTTGAAGCAGAGATGGGTTTCTAGCCTAAGGGAAGAGGAAGGGTTAGGCAGAGAAATCTTGTTTTGGAAGGAGCACCCAGTGCCTTCCTCTGCCTGCTTTCCTCTCCCTGCTTCTAAGAGGACTAAAAATACCAGTGTATTTGTAGTCTCAGTCTGTAACTGTCTGCAAGCAGGAGGTTAGAGTAACTTCCAAATACCAATTTTTATTGTTCTTAGATAACAAATTAGCACCTGTGTGGAAGAAAAGATTTTTCTTATGCTTAAAATTTGAGATGTTACTTAAGCCCTTCTTTGCCCTTTGTTTTTAAGGTTTGGTAGTCAGTTTGGCTTACTTGAATTGCTCAGGCACCAAATAGATGTTAAAAATGTCATTAACCTGTTCGATGCTCTGAGGCAGATTTCTGAGTACATGTATGTGCATCTATCTGATGTGTATGTAATTGGGAAGCCTACCTGCTTTCACACTTGGAGGTTGTTGATACTGATGCTATTTTAACTTGGAAATGAGCTTTTGCAGCTGGTAGGTCTCTTCAGCAGAGGAAGGCAGTTATGGATATTGCCTACCTCTTGGAAATAGATGAAGCTTGTCTCTCAGTCAGCAATTTAATTTCCCATGCACCTCCCAGGTTGGTTTAATGGGTTGTCAGAGGTTCTGCACGCCAGATTGTCAGAAAGGTCATAGGACAACCTTTGTAAATGAAATTTAGATGTACCAAGATGCTTCATATCCAGTTGATGTGTTAAGTTCATTTTAGAAAGAAAATTGTTTGAAAATACACACTTCATTTGATGGGCAGAAATAGTTATTTGCCTGTCATCTGGCATCTAACACCAGCTCATCACCATCACTTGTGGGAAAAGAAAATGAGCATGCTTTATTCTCCAACACGTGCAGTGTAAGTGTAAAATTATATTTTAGTTTCTTTCCACATTTAAGGGTGGATCTCCAAAATGCTGCTGTATGGATGGCCTGTCATTAAGTGTGGTCCCTCTTTCGGTGCAGTAGCAGATAGCTGCCCAGCATATGAAATTACTGGAAACAAAGCCTGCTTTGTGCAATGAAATACTGCATCAAAAGCATATATGGGGTAGAAGTCTGTCAGGCTCTCTAAAACTGTGCTTGTGAAATCTATCATTTGGGAGAAACATGCTAAGGGTTTCCAGGGAGAAAGTTGATGAGAGGGGAGCTCTTGCAGCTGTAGAACAAGATGTTGAAAAGTAAACTGCAGATGTTCACGTGATGCACTAAGTGCTATGCCTGCTAGTGCATCTGTATGACAAGCACCTAGGTAGTGAGAGTCTAGTTACTAAGAATATAACTTAAATGAGAAGTTTCAACTGCTACTTCTTTTTGTTTCTTTACTTTGCAACTTGCACTGAGGGTGAAGTGCTCTAATCGGTTTTTGCAGAGCTTTAAAAAGGTTTATCATCTCATTTGAGCTAATAGGAGGGAGGAGACATTGGGAATGTTAGCCAGTCAGCTTTCAGTATCTCCTTTCTGTTTGCAAAATCAGTAACAAAGTGTTCTCAAAAATGATCATGGAAGATTGTGAGTAAATAGAGGGGGAAACATGCTTTTGAAATGTTGTCTGAGTGCTTTGTCAGTTGTATTGATTCTGTTACAGTTTATCTGGTCTATGTATATATTCATTGCAGTGATGAGAAAAACAACCCCGTGTGGTTTTTTTCAAACACCCCCTGAAACAGTGAGTGTGACTCACAGGGTTTGTACCTAAGGCTGCATACTCGCTCTTAGTAATAACTAGTGTTTCAGCTGGGAAAGCATCATCTTTCAAGGAACCGAAATACAGAAACCAGGAATTGAGGACTGCTAGAAAAATTGCGTGGCACATGCTGCGCTGCCTTGATTTGCTCATGACAGCGAGTTGCAGGAATTGTCATCTTTTGCTTTCTCTGTTATCCATGTGTGCTAGGTAAAGGTCTGAATGAAGCAAGAGTTTTGCAGTTACATGGTAACACTTGTAGGGAGGCACATCACACCCAGAGGATTTGATAAGTAAATTGAAGGTGATGTGGTTGTCTCCTAACACAATCGTAGGGCTTCCCCTGTGCTGAGGACCGTGGATGAACTGCACTGCTGTGCTGTTCCTGAGCCTCTAAGCTTTTGATGTGAGCGTTCTTACAGAAAACACCATGTAGAGGATTTACAGCTTTGAACCACTTCACATGTGGGTTGAAATGTCTCACTGACAGTAACACAGAAAGCTGAATGTAGAGCAGGGAATTAAATTGATTCTCAAGTTATTGCCTTGACCACAGGCCCATCCTTTCCATGAAACACAGATGCACTTTTCACGTCACGTAAGTAGCAAGTGCACCAAGCCCAGCGCTCCTGGTGCAACTGCCTTGGCGCTTCTGATCTGCCCACTTTCACATGAAGAATAAAAATAGCTGCTGCACCTGTATTTTGTATGTAAATTTCCCCAAGGGCACTTACCAGGGAAATTTTGCACTGTCCCAAGGGTGATGGCTTTTGCAAATACTCTGACAATGCGTGGCAGGGCCGACACGCTGAGCTGACCTGCTGAGTGCGGCTGCTTGTCTGCAGCAGGGAGCTGTGCTCTTGCTCACGGGAGGTGTTGCCATAGCTCCTGCGTAGGAGCCGCGGTCACCGAGACCATGAAAGCTGAATAGGTTTGGATTGAGGAGGCTGGCTGGCGAGAAGGCACTGGGTCACTGCAGGAGCACACATGGTGGAGGTGTACAATGTGGGATCATTTGCTTTTGTAGTGTAGTTGGGGCTAGTGGAGAGTAAATGTGTTGTGTGTAGTGCAGGATTGGACATGGGTTTAACATCACACTTTCTCAAAGACCTCAGCATCTTGATGTGTCCAAAGGGGATGGCTGGAAGCCTTTGGCTGGGGGAACTGATACCAGCAGAGTATAAGCATCTGCTTATTCTCTCATGCAGAAGATGGCAGAGCCTCCAGGCTTGTGTTCCTGACAGTCAGGAGCCCGAGAATAAATGTCATTTAAAACACCATGTGATGGATGACATGGGTATGAAATTCTGGGGTGTTTTAGTTTTCGTTATTGTTCTTCACTGGGAAAAAATGAGGATGGTCAGACTCAAGCCTCAAAATAGAAATCAAGCATCTTTTTGGGAAAATTATAAACTGGAAGTTCATGCCAGTCTGTTCTTCAGCTGAAGCTCCCTATCCAGTGTAACTGTATGAAGTGGGGCTGTGCTCATGGATAAGCATGTGCTTAACCATTTGCAAGACCTGTGCCTCAGGTGCCAGTTACAAATTACTGAACTGTAACTAATCCTGTATGTGCTTCTTCTGTGTTGGTGGGAGATTAATGGGCACAGAAGTTGTTAGTTTGACTGCTCTTTTTCTGTTGTGTGTGTGGTTTTGTTTGTTTGTTTGTTTTTTTGTGTTTTGGGGTTTTTTTTTGTAACTTTGTGTGGAGAACAGTCCTCTTTTTCCTATTAGACAAGAGTGTACATAATTATCACATGAATGAATTTTGGGGTAGATCTCTAAGCACAGACTTGGTAGCGATGGTTTCTTTGTTCCAAGAGCTTATCTCACAAACATGGGAACCAAATATTTTTGATGAATCACTGCATATACATTTATGTTTTTCTTTTAAGTATTTGCTTTCCACAACTAGTATCTTAATTTGCAGCTTTCACAAAGAAAGTGAAAACAAACCTTCAGGCTCATTTGGAAATGACTTTTTAATTTTGTTCTTGCACTTGTAGGAATTTTTTTATTTAAATATAATTCAGTATTTAATATTTTTCTTGCAATATAGTCAGCATGCTTGCAGTCTTACTTCAGTTACTTGTGAAACTCATTTTAAGCAGCAAACCATATATCGTCCAGTACTTTAGTTGGAAATATTCAAACTATTCTCACTGTGAAAATCATTGACTTGATACATATTACTTGAATTATACAATTCAGGCTTTCACTAAGAAATGACATTGACTGGATTGGAGTTAATAAAATAGTAAGTCCATATGCATTTGTTACCTCTTTGAATACTTCCTTAGAGTAAATTGGAGTACCTTAGGAATCTAAAGCTATTTGCATTGGACTGAAATATTACCAATGCTGATTAAGGTTTTAGATAGCACTAAAAAGGAAGAAAATAAGCTTTTACTGTAGTATGTTGCTTTTTCTGAAAAAAAGGAATGTATTACTGCATTTTTTTTCCCATTTCTGAAAGCATAGTGGTAGATTCCAAGGTATTTTAATCTTCCAATGAATAAACAGTTGTGCATTCTAGAAATCCTTAACAATAATGACAAAAAGCTCCTGAATTAGAGCGATTCTTCAAGCCAGCTGCTTCCTGATAATCATGTTATTCCAACAGTCTGTGTAAATCCTGCTCTCTAATTAGAATTACGAGACTTGTTGAGAGCTCACATGGCTCTTGCTCTTGGTATCCTTAAATCCTGGGCCAGGTCCCAGCCTGGATTTGCATCTCTCTGCAATAATTCCATTGATTTAGAGTCTGTGCTGGATGCTGAGATGAAAATGAGAATCACTTTGCTTAAAGGTGTGGAAATTTCAGCAGAGCAGAGAAAATATTGTAATTGCTTCAGCTAATCATGTAAAGAGGAAAACTCATCCGATTTGGAAGTAGCTGGAATTTACTTTTCTTAAACTTAGTAAATAATAAAAATCAAATGGAAAGTAGGCATCCTTACCCACTGATACAAGCCACAGCTGACAAAATGGGCTATGGCAGGCAGTCTTGCCACAGAGACCTGGAGTTGCTGCTATTAAAGTAAGTAGGGTGTGTTTATAAAAGGAAAGAGGAGCTGATTTGAAAATATACCATGTGGGAAGTGTCCACATTTTTCCTGCAGAAAGCAGATCCTGTCCATCCTCGTTTGAATTGTGAAATGGTGTCTCGGGGCAGGGGGGAACAGTACTAGGGGTGTGACATGCTAGGCTTTAGGAGATGCTGATTCCAGCTGATTTGCCAGCCTGCTGTGGGGATTTGCCCTGCCTGCTAGCCCCATTCTAGCGTCGTCTAGATGAGATAGATGTCTGCCATTGAACTCCCTCTCAGAACCTGTTATGCTGCTGTTTCCTCCTCACTGAGTGAGCAATTTACAAGCTGTTTCTCTCTGAGAAACCCTGCCAGAGGTGACATCTAGCACAGGCTATTGCAGGCTTCGTATAAAAGCTGTCTCTGAAAGACAAAGGTTTGGTGTCCAGCATGCTAGCTTTCAGATGTGGTTCTGGGTTCTCATAATCACTTCTACTGAAGAATTCTGGCTTAGTCCAAATGCCAGTAACTGTTTTGAATGTGGCAGCCCTTGCATGAATCTAAAGAACAACCTAAAGGTAGGAACAAACAGAAATAAATTCTAAAGCTCTAATCTGTCTTTGTCCTTTTTTTCCTTTCTGCAATGTTTTGAAGGATGCACGCCAGAAGTTCCGCTCTGTGCTGGTTGAAGCAACGGTAAAACTGGATGAACTGGTGAAGAAGATTGGAAAAGCTGTAGAAGACTCTAAACCTTACTGGGAAGCTCGGAGGGTGGCCAAGCAGGTGAGAACTTTCTGCCTTATAAACTTGTGCTGGTAGTTGGAAAGCACATACTGATTGCATTGCTTTCCTGCTATTAATAGCATCTTAAGCACATGCACTTGGCTGACACTGGCCTATGTCTTGAGTTGCATGTCAGCCATGTGAATCAATGACAAAAATGTGTTTCTTTGGAGCGACAGCTGCATGTGTTCTTCAGTTCTAGGAACAGCTACAGCAGATAAACTATCAGTAGCAAAAGACTAGTTCTGTTCTCCCCCTCATTATCAATGGCCTTTCAGAGCCCCATTCTTTACTATCAGTAGTTGTAATTGTTCGAAATATAGTGTAGGCTTCATGTATCTGCTTTTTCCTCTTAAAGCAAAATGCTCAGCAGCTAAGCAGCTGTAAGTGGCAGCTGCTGGGCAAGAGGCTGGAGTGGGGCAGACCTGGGGAAGCCTGCAGGATTTGGTGTTGATTAGGTTGTGCTGAAACAGGAATGTGCTAAAAGTGGCTCTAAAGTGTGTTGATTTGGGGAGAAACTGAGCTCTGCTTTCTGTACTGTCATCAGGACCTTACCTCCCTTGCCCCAACTACTACTTGATTACTGATAGGCACCTAAAATTTTTTTTTTTTGGCTTGGAATGGGCCTGTGTGACTGAGGTGGGGAAGGATGAGGAGTGTAAGTAAGGGCGTGATCTACTGGCTGCAGGGGAAATGAGAAAGCTTAGATGTCAGGCAGCTTCTCACCTTAGGGAAAATGGAGCTGACAGTTGAGTGTGTGGTGGCTTAGGCAGTCTTTCTGCTTGGTGTCTGTGATGGGTTCTGCTGGTGTCTGAGGCTTTTCATTTTTTCCCCGGTGGGGAGCCTGTTCCTGGGTGCTATTTCTATTTTCTCTCAAGGCAGGGAGAGGCAGAAGCAGGGGAAGGGTTGCCTAGAGCTGCTGCTTCTGTGCTTGGCTGGAAGGATGTATGGTGTGACATCTGTGGCTGAGTAACCAGGATGCGACTGTGTTCAAGGGGAGAGTGAAAGAGAGATGGAATAGTATGTGTGAAATATAGAAAAATTACAGGAGAAGGATTTTGTTTGTAAAAATGGGTAGAGGATGAGGTTGAGGGGTGAGAAAAGTAGTGTAGGTGCGTGCAGAAAGGCAGAAAGTAAACTCACAGGGTAAGAGAAGGGAAGAGAATACATTGTCAGAGCAGGGCGTAGGAAAAGGAGGCATCAATTGCTTTGAAAGCTGATGAAGCAGGAACTGGGTTGATGGGATGTGACATGCGAGGTAATATGTGACCACACTGATCCTTTAAATTGCATGGCATTGTTTTGAAGCCATTGTCTTAGGCAGTGGGGATGATGTGTGTGGGTTATTAGGCATAATCCTTCAGACTAGTAGTGGCGTGACAAATATGTAAACTCTACTTCAAAGCACAGTAAGCACGCTATCAACTATGCATCTGTAACTGCTCTGAAAGCAATCCCTGCTCATGGGCCATATGCTGTGTGCTAGAGATGAACCAGTAGTGAGCTAGAGAAAGGCTGGAAGTTAGTAAAATAAGACCAAAGAATTGTTTGTGTTGTGTTAATTAGTAAATATTTTTAAAATTTTTTTAAATTGAACTATCTCCCAAATTCAGCCTCAAGTGTGATCTTACACTTCTATAAATAGCTATATAAAGCACAGAATGCATAGGGCTTCTAGAGTTATACCTGAAAAAGTCAATGGTAGAAATGCATACTCTGCAGTACAAAAAAATCAGATGACTGAGGACTGTAATATCAGGCACTGAGAGCAGTGACCTTTGTCCTCTGTCCTGAAGTTGGCAGCTGTCATTTCCCACTCAAACGAGGGAGATGAGTGACTTTGATTTCTAAACCCCCAACGAAGTGGACAACAGCAAGACAAGTCTCAAAGTCCAAACACTTATTAATTTTCCACAATGTACAAACTGGATACATGATAATTAACTAAGTGTATAATGAATTATGCCTTGTGTTACCTAATGATAATAAGGAAAAAAGGAAAAAAGAAAAGAAGAGAGGTAGAAATAGAGATCACTGCCCCAGAGTTGGTCTCGCCAACGAGGGTTCAAGGTGCATCTGTTGTCTTCTCTTCATTTCACTCCTTTTTTGTTTGTTTTCCACTCCTCAGCCCCCTAAGTTTATACACACTTTCCTTGGGTCCCTTCCTTATGTTGATCCACCTGACTACGTATCTCATGTCTGGGGAGGGGCAAGGTATTTCATGGGATGATGTAATTAGCATGATCTTGTTAATCTTCATTAGCATAAGCAGGGGTGTCAACTTTAATATGCATTTCATGGTTAATGAAGCAAAGTTCATTCATGGGACAGATGGGCCTTGAAATTTTAGAGGATGCACCAGAGCAGAACTGTCCTGCCTCCACAGGCTCCCCCCTCCAGCTGCACCCTGTGCTACCCAGGCAGCCTGATCAGCTCCAGACTCCACCCTATCTGCCCTGTGACTGCAGTTTTGTTTGAGACATTCCTTGTCTTGGAGGGCCTCAACTCCCCCTCATCATCCTCTCTCAGGCTTTCTCAGTCCTTGTTTCTCACAGGCCTGTTCATTTCAGGCCCTATTTTGGGGAGTTGCAAGTAGTCTCTCACAGCAGCTTATGTCTTGAAAATGGATTTTTTTTTTTTTTTTTATTCCTGCATCTTTGCTGCCAATGAAATCCATTCAGTCATGGTGCTTCAAAGGTGCTTTTTGCAAGAGCATAAAAAACCCCAAATCACTTAAGGTCCTATTCTGGTATTTGGTTTGTTAGAACCATATTTTTCTCTCAATCTATTCTGTCATTAGCTAGAGTTTAAATGCTTCTTATCCCAGATCTGCTAATTTGCTACACACTCAATTTTCTTTTAATTACTTGATAGCCTTTTTTGGAGGGAGGGTATGGTTGTGTTTGATTTTTGTTTGTTTGTTTAAGCAGGGATCCCTTTCTAACTGTCCATTTCACTTTTTTCCATTTTGTGTTATGAGCCGGTCATGGAACAGAGCTCCCTCTTTGTATCTGCTCAGCAAACAAAGCTGGAAGATGGTCTCCTGTTTCCCTTTGGCTCTGTTTTATAAAATCTTGAAACAGAATATGTGAGGGCCAAGAAAGACATTGAAGGAAGCAAATCTATTTGGAAACCAGAAGATTGGAAGTGTTGATACCAATCATTAGTAAAGCATGTGCCTGAAGAGTTTTTCTAGTATTAATTTAGTCTAGAAAATTTCCATTTAACTGGGACCAAATTTGCTGTATTAAATCAGGGAGAAGGGGTAAGTGGGTAGAGAAATGAAACTGGAGGAATGTACCAGAATATGAATATGTTTAGGTGCTAGTCTGCATCATTCTTTTTACTTTGATTTGTAAACTTGTAGAGAAATCATGGGAACAGCTTGATAATAACATCTAGCCTTTGAAGACTGTCTTCTTCCTTCTGTCCTTACAGTTATTTTAGAGCCATTAAGCTGCCTCTGAAAACACAGACACAAAGTTCTCTGTGATTGGAAAAGCTTTAATTAAACAATAAGGGGAAAACACAGGACAGAACTTAGAAGGGGAAGTGTAAATTCTTGTTTGTTGTTCTCAGTAAAGGGAAGTAAAAATTTGACCCATAAATTGAAGTCTTTCATGAGCAGAGACCTGCATAATTAATGACATCTGTTTTGCCAGAAATGCAGGAGTTGCCCAGAGTTACTTGCATTTAAGATGCCAGCTGTAGGGTGATTTGCATGATGCAAGCTGTATTTAGTCATATCAAGGAGCTTACTTTCACTTGGCACCAGCATGAACATCTTCTGGAAATACTTGTTTCATTTATTAAGATAAATGCCATTAAAAAGGTATGAGGGCACTGATGTGGGGTCAGCAAAAATCAGGTCTACAACTCAAGTTACTTCCCTGGAGAAGCATTAAGACCTTGAGCCCTTTTGTTTACTTACCCTTATCCTCATCTTGTGCAATCCTGTGTTGCCAGAAGATGGTGAATTCAAAACAAATTAACTCTCCCATGCAAAAGTCCTGTAGCATCTTGTTGTAGAGAGGTTGGTGCTGGTCTCTTCTCACAGGTAATTCGTGACAGAACAAGAGGGAGTGGCATTAAACTGCAACAGGGGAGGTTCAGACTGGACATTAGGAAAAAATTTTTCAGAGAAAGAGTGGTCAGACAGTAGAATAGGCTGCCCAGGGAGGGGGTGGAGTCACCATCCCTGGAGGTGTTTAAGGGTCGTTTGGATGAGATGTTGGGGGCTATGGTGTAGGGGAGAACTTTGCAGAGTAGGGCTGAGGGTTGGACTCGATGATCCCAAGGGTCTTTTCCAACCTGAATGATTCTGTGATTCTGTTTATCTAACATATGATGAGAGCTTCAGCTTGGTCTATCTCGGGGTGAAACTTTGCTTTGATAGAACAATGGTCCCTCAACATTAGGATTTGAGTGCTTTGTCGCCTGAGGTGGGGGTACAGGGAATCAGGATGCTGTCTGTTGGCACCAAAGCAGTGATATTCAGCTTTTGCTGAGACTGAATTGAGAGCTGGCTAATATTCTTGCCCCTGTAGATAACTTCTGCCAAGGCAGAATCACCTTGTTGTGATTCCTCATTTGATAGACTAGTGGGCCTTTTGTGTTGATTGCAGACATGCCTTACTGGTTTGGAGCATTTTGATACAAATCTGTTTAATCAAATCTTAAGGTATTTCTGCTGCAAGGGCTTTTTTTGTTTGGCATATTGTCTTTTCATGTTCTTTAAGTTATGCCATAATGCACATGTTCAGTGGAAGAACCTTGGCATATAGTGGAGGATTGTACACAAGCAATGACCATGTTGCAGCAATATGAAATTCCTATAATCCAGAAGGTGATTCAGGTTCTAAGTGTTGGGAAGATCAATCTGATGTCTGTTTGTTTTTGTGGTGGTGGGTTGGTTTTTTTGCTAGTAATCTACTTCCCTGGTTGACTAGTTAAAGAATTAGACTTTCTTGCCCAAAGCTAATGGGGAAGAAGGGCGAAGT